TTCAACAGATGGATTTCACAATTTAAGATGGTAACATACCACTGATTATTATTCCTCTTCACCACTTAAAAATCACTACCCAAAGAAAAAGCATAATTTAAAAAATATATACTAACATTATCTTCAACAAAACTTGGCTACCTGTAACCACAAACTACAGCAGATGAGGAAAAGCTACCAAATCCAGTAATGTTTTAAAAACACAAAAAACAGGTAGGAGCAAGGGGGCATCCAGGAAGACTCTAAGAGAAGATAATTAGATATTTTGGTCTGAAATAAACCTACCAAACAGTTCATTCCCATTAGATTATCACTATGAATATCAAAATTAATAATTGCTCATTTTAGAATTCCCAGCTTATTAATGAGTTCCCATACTGGTAGCCAGGGCAGCAAGGAATGAGAAAAATACAGTCACGTACTACTTGTAGAAAGAAGCCTGTCAGTCAGGGTGGATGACAAATTGAATTGTGAGAGGAGCAAAGAAACATGTACACACATATACAAAGAAAACCCCATGTCACAAAAACCTTTTTTCAAGTGGAAGAGATTCCTGCTATTCTGAATTCTGCCCTGGAACTTACCACAAATATACATCAATTATACCTGTATATAACTCTTTCAAGATCTAAAAATAATTAATTTAAAAAAGAAACAGCATTATCTTTCTACAGAGGAACCTTCAGGAAAAAGGAGAGGAAAGAAAGAAGAAAATGGGGTCGGTCCCGTGGCTCCCTCAGAAGAGTGCAGCACTGGTAGCGCTGAAGCCATGGGTTTGGATCCTATATAGGGATGACCGGTGCGCTCACTGGCTGAGCATGGTGTGGGCCACACTGTGCTGAGAGTTGCGGTCCCCTTACCAGTCACAAAAGAAAAAAGAAAAAAAAAAAAGAAAGAAAAAAAGAAAAAAGAAAATGAGTTGTAGAAAATGTTTCTACAGAGCAGATAAAAATCACGATAACTATTTTTGCATGTTGATTTTGTATCCTACAACTTTACTGAAATCATTTATAAGCTCTTAGATGTTTTTTTGCAGTGTTTAGGTCTTTTGTGTCATCTGCAAACAGGAATAGTTTGACTTCATCTTTTCCAATCTGGATATCATTTATTTATTGCTCTTGACTGATTGCTCTGGATAGTATTTCCAATGCTGTGTTAAATAGGATTGGTGAGAATGGGCATCCTTTTCTTGTTCCTGTTCTTAAGAGAAAAGCTTTTGGTTTTTCCCATTTCAGAATGATATTGGCAGTGGGTTTGCCATGTATGGCTTTAATTGTGTTGAAATACTTTCCTTCTATACCTAATTTGTTGAGAGTCTTTGTTATGAAGGGATGGCAAAATTTGTCAGATGCTTTCTCTGTATTTATTGAGACAGTCATATGATTATTGACCTTGATTTTGTTGATGTGGTGTATCACATTTATTGAATTGTGTATGTTAAACCATCCTTGCATCCATATGGGATGAATCCCACATGATCATGATGTTTAATTTTTTGATGTGTTGCTGTATTCTGTTTGTTAATATTTTGCTGGGGATTTTTTAGTCTATTTTTATGAAAGATATTGGCCCATAGTTTTCTTTTTT